GTCTGACCGTCTTGTATGTACAATAATACCGAAATCTAGTAAACGCTCGAGCATTCACGAATCTTTGAGAATATGACGTGTTACTAGCGTCACGTGACCCCCCGTTGTCGTAACAATATTAATCATTTTGATACCTCTGGTTTTTAACTAGATTACACAACATGTTAAATTGTTTTTTGAATAATTGAAAACAATCCAGACAAACAAAATGAAAAGCTGATAATGGAATATAATACATATCCATAAAAATATAAGTTACACAAATGAATAGATGGGCATTTAGCCCACCATTTTCCTTCTCCATCTAAAGAATATAACCATTTGCATTCATATACATATTCAAGAAAAGTGTAGAAGAACCAAAACTCTCAGTTTGAGCTCATGATAAAGCAAAAGAAGTTTATAACGAAGTAATTCTGTCAAAAAACAAATCAATCAGACTTTCAGGTTGTGAACCTAATGACCTTAATTAATATTGACACTTGCATTTCAGATTTTGTCATTCCAACACTCAGGCCATTCAAAGACAGATTAGATTGTCTAAATCCTTAATGATTTTGAACACCTGAATCAAATCATTTCTAGTTCTTCTAGAGGAAAATAAGTTAAACATTTTAAGACTTCTCATACTTCACATCTTAAATCTTTATTAGTTTAGTAGCTCATCTCTGCCCTGCCCTTTTTCTAATCTGTTTGGGGTCTGCACTGCCTACAGTGCCCCAGCTGTGTTTGTAATTCCTGCCATTTCTTAATTTTAGAGCAAGGAAGTACATATAGTTTTAGCAACTATAAAGTTGTTATGGTGCATTGTCTTTACATTTTAACTTATTCAACATTGTTTAAGTTTTGGTACATAAATGTACAAATTAATAAGTATTGTGAATTTGTACTGCTGGAGGGGACACATTGTATATGTGTATATCAATAAATGCAAAGACCAATCTATCTCTCTTAACAGTTTCAGTGAAATCTTTGGAAAAAACTTGTATGCTTCACATGAGGCTGGAACACTATATATAATAATGTGTGTTACACACAACTAACTTTTAGAAGGTGTTAAACTTAATTTTAGTGAATGGTAGATCATATTTCATATTATACTCTACCTCTGATATAACATAGGGCAACAACTCTTAATGCTATAGAAAAGGTAATTCTCTTTGAATTTTGCTTTAATTCTAAATATAAATTTTCAAACACTTTCATTCTTCAATTTTTTGAGTAGGAAATTTAAAATATATTTGTGAACTATTTTTCTGCTATGATGATTTATTTCTATCAATATGTTTTTTTTTCTTTACTAAATATTAGTATTTTCAATACTTTCTCGAAGCTAATATCAGCATATTTTCCTAGGAAACTACAGTACAACCCAATGTTAACCTTGCTTTGCCCACATTCTATGGAAATAATATAGATGAACATTTCCAACATCTAGGAGAGAGAGTTTCTGTGGATTACAAAAAACTATTAAATGATTTAACCAATGTTGAAATTCCAAAGATGCCAGAAGAATGGAAGTTTACTGCTGGATGGATTAGATATGGGGCTAATGGAAATGTAGAAAAGGTGGAATATCCAAGTGAACCAGTGTTAGTGTTTGACGTAGAAGTTTGCCTGCAAGAAGGAAATTTTCCAACCTTAGCAACTGCTGTTTCTCCACAAGCTTGGTAATACTGTTGTCTTTTTAATTATCTTCTTTCTGTGTCTCAGGTTGATTTTATCCTCAAATTAAAGGCAGTATTTTCAAAGAAAATAAATGCAAAAATACTAAAATGGTTTACTAAATAGCTTAATAACATCACAAACTTTAAAAAGGACCAGTATAATAATTTTGTAATGTCAAGTTTATATTCCAAAACTTTTCATTCTATCTTTCAAACAGAGCACTCATTGGAAGACTGTCTAAATAGTCATGCAAGTGAGCATTACAATTGTGCATGTTGTGCTAAAAGATTGAAATTGGTACATATATTCATCATGATACTCATTATTTTCAGATTGTAGGTCATGCTTTAGCTTATTTTCTTTGTGTAGTTTCAGATAAATTCCACACAGCTACCATGCTACTTGGTTACTAAATAATCATATTGACTCATTTTACCTTTCAAGATAAAAAGCTAGTGATCCTAGAGGCTAGATACTATTCTTTATAACGTATAGTTGATAATTTGTTGATCTTGTAGGCATAGTGGCCTATTTTCTATGACCATTTAAATTTGGAAATTTGGTTGATTTAGTTTTTCCTCTCATTTACTGAAATTTCTTTTTCAGTTCTGGAATGCTTTACAAATTTTTCATAAGCTTTAGCAAAGGATACACATAAATTATCTTTAAATCAGTTTCAGGTGCTTATATACATGAAGTGTTTATTTAATGAAATAAATAGATGGATAAAAACTATTGTTGCGTATCTGCTTGTTTGTTAATTTCCAGTATAAATTCTTTCTGAGGAACTTCAGCGATATAAGTCCCTTCTTGATTAAACCAGTTTATTTTTTCTCGATATAAACTTTTAGTACACAGAAAGTCCGCAGTCAGTACATTTCTCGTCACTTTAAACTTAACAACTTTTATAATACACGCTATAAATCTCAGTGATTGACAATCTCAATAACTTCACTACGAGTGCAAAACACACACTTTATATTACCGTAACTACTGTTCGCTTTTTTAATTATCTATCTATTGCTGGCTTCTCTGCCTGGCTTATATACTAAAGAAGAGGGTTCGCCAAAATTCGAGGAGTTCCCTGATAAATCGAGAAACTCATTCATGCATGCACCAGCAGCTTCATGTGACTTCCACTGTCGTAACACTATAAAAACTCAGTTGATCAAAGACCACAAGTTTTGGCCTGAAGTAGCTTGACTATTAGATCTAAGCGATCAATTCAGTTATATCAGTTAACGTCCCATAAACTAATCAACTAATTGAAATTATGATTAAATCAATTAATGCCACAAAAATATTCAACTGGTCGAAATTAATGTCTTTAGTTATTCCAACTATACAGTAATCCAAATTACAATTACATTGATAATGTCATGAAAATAATCAATTCAGCTAATCAGAGTTAGTGTTTCTGATACAGTCATACCTGCACTCACACAATTGATAGGGTATATAGACTGGTGCACCAATTGCAAAAATGTTTTTAGCAATGCTTCGAAGGCAGAAGAAGATCAAGTTAGCTTTGTGTGAAAGGAGGTAAGTACCTATCAGAAATACATTTTCAGTGTAAGAAAATGTTAACTTCTGGCTATTACTGTTCCTGATTATTCCAACTATTCAATATTGAAATTATGATTAAATTGATGGCTGAAATAAATAGATGTATAAAAACTCAATTGATCAAAGATCACAAGTTTTAGCCTGATGCAGCTTGACTATTAGAGGTGGGTGATTAACTCAATTAATTGATATGATCAATTACCTATAGATGAGCATCAATTGTACCAATTATTGTTAAAAAATTAATTAATTGAAATTACAATTAAATCAATTATTCCAACTGACTGGTAATCGAAAGTGTGATTAATTTGATGAAGATTATGAAATAATTAATATAAATTACTGTTTTTGATTATTCCAACTATCCAATAATCAAAGTTACAAGTAAATCAATTAATGTCACGAAAATAATGAGATAAAATTAGTGTTTCCAATTATTCCAACTATCCTGTAATTGAAATATTCCTATTATTATTTTAGTTTAATTCAAGTTTGTTCAGCTAAACTGATTTTTTGCATGACTCAAAATATAATCAACTAATTGAAATTAGGGCATATGAATACAGTTGATTTATGACACATACAACAATTAACTGTATTATTAATGCTAAACATTTAACTATGAAGCCTATGTTGATCATTGTATCAATACAGCAGGAAAATGTGTTCAGCTTTACCATGTAAATTGAGAATTCCTGTAAATGTTATATATAAGTGTTAGGTTAAACAAGTAAGCCTATTCATAGGTTTGTATTTTAAATCTATTGTGTTAGTTATGTTGTTTCTCATATACCTTAGAAATAACATTTTGTTCAAGTAAAAATTTAAAGTTTTACAAATATTCATGCTTGAAGCAGTGTTGTACATTTATAATAGTTTAGGCAGTTATTTTTAAAAAGGTGTATATATATATATTATTATTATTATTAATTATATATATACATCATTTTAGTCAGTTTTCTTCATTATTCTGTGTGGATAGACATTGACTTATGTCTTCGATCATCTAGACAAACTAATGCAGCAATACATAAGTTATGTGCTGTTTCATTGCTAATTTTCATTACATCATGTGTAAAGTTATTGAAGATGTTTTAATTTTTGCCAGCAGAGAGAGCTTTCCATTGGCTCCATATCAGTATGTCCAGTATATGCCAACTCTTATGCTTTTACCACTTTTTCACACAGTTCGTATGGATGAGGATTGAAGCTCCTGGGACTAAAAAACCCCAACATTTTTGTGCTTATGACTCAATCAAGCACCTCCCCAATTCTTCTGTCCTCCAAAGGAAATGGGTCCAAAGCTTTTAACCTCTCTTCTTAGCTTGAATAATTTAAATAAAGTATAGTTCTAACAGCACATCTCAAAGTAACCCTTCCTGTACTATGAGGACTAAAACTGAAAACAGTACTCTGAATGGGGTCTCATCAGATTTGTACAAGACTGGCCTGGCATGGCCGGGTGGTAAGAGTGCTTGACTCGTAATCTGAGGGTTGTGGGTTCGAATCCTCATCACACCAAACATGCTCACCCTTTCAGCCATGGGGGCATTATAAGGTGCTGGTCAATCCCACTATTCATTGGAAAAAGAGTATCCCAAGAGTTGGCGATGGGTGGTGATGACTAGGTGCCTTCTCTCTAGACTTACACTGCTAAATTAGGGACAGCTAGTGCAGATAGCCCTCATGTAGCTTTGCACAAAATTCAAAACAAACTTTGTACAAGACTACACCAACTGTCTTGTTCTTAAGTTCAAATGGAGTTCTTGGCTCAATTTACATATAAATTGAGCCAAGAACTCCATTTGCTCTTTTCATCATAACTAAATGTTCAGCAAAGGGCTTAAGGGTTTCATAAACAATCCAGTCACATTTAATTATCTATATAAATATAATAATACGTCTGTTGTCTGTCAATGTAACTACTTTGCAGGGTGTGGATGTATCTTCACCCAAATTGGTATGGAGGTTCATTAGGTCCTGGTGGGGGTACATACAAATTCTCAGTTTTGTGTCTTGTGTTTTTTATGAGTGTTTTTGCATTATTTATCACTACTTCACCCCCTGTGGATGGATCTTCACCAAATTTGCCATGAAGGTTCAATGGGTCCGTGGGGAGATACATACAGATTTTCAGTTTTGTGGTTTTTATTAGTATTTTTGCATTTTTTACCACTACTTCACCTCCTGTGGATGGATCTTCACTAAATTTGGTATGAAGGTTTGTTAGGTCCATGTGGATATACATGCAACTTGCAGTTTCATATTTTGGTTTTTGCTGGTTTTAAGGTAACTTTTGCATTTATTTTACAAATTACATATAAGGGAATCAACTTTTCATGCCCTAAGTTAACCTTTCATTAATCATGAATTTACACAACTTCCATCCTTTGAATGTTTAAAACTATTTTTGAGTTTCTTTATAGGGAATGAACCACTGAACATAGCCCTAACTTTACATGACACTAAGTTACTTATGATGAACATATTTTTAGCCACTGAAGTTACTTATGATGAACTATTTTTAGCCACTGAAGTTACTTATGATGAACTATTTCTAGCCACTGAAGTTACTTATGATGAACATATTTTTAGCCACTGAAGTTACTTATGATGAACTATTTCTAGCTACTGAAGTTACTTATGATGAACTATTTCTAGCTACTGAAGTTACTTATGATGAACTATTTCTAGCCACTGAAGTTACTTATGATGAACTATTTTTAGCCACTGAAGTTACTTATGATGAACTATTTTTAGCCACTGAAGTTACTTATGATGAACATATTTTTAGCCACTGAAGTTACTTATGATGAACATATTTTTAGCCACTGAAGTTACTTATGATGAACTATTTCTAGCTACTGAAGTTACTTATGATGAACTATTTCTAGCCACTGAAGTTACTTATGATGAACTATTTCTAGCCACTGAAGTTACTTATGATGGACTATTTTTAGCCACTGAAGTTACTTGTGATGAACTATTTTTAGCCACTGAAATTACTTATGATTAACTATTTTTAAGTATTTCTGTAATTTGTAAAGCTTCATAATACATCAAGCTAGACATTTTAAACCATCTAGTTTTCAAAAATTACTTATTAAAATAATTAGGGAAATATAGTTCAAACTTTTGAAAACTTTAGAATATATATATACATCAAAATATTTTATATTTATAGAACTTGTGCTTGATGTTTATTTGATCCAGGAATAACATTTTCTATTATTAGGTACTCATGGTGTAGTGAGCAACTTATAAAGGAACAATTTTCCTGGGATCAGGAAGTCTCTTTGAATGACCTTATTCCACTAGAAACACTACCTGGACAGGTAGAACCTTCTGATGGACAATCATGGCAGCCACGATTGGTTATTGGACATAATGTTGGCTATGATAGAACCTATATAAAAGAACAGTATTTTCTTAAGGTATTAAAGTAATTTAGTTGGTTTAATTTAATGAAGTGGTATTTTTTTACACATTCTTAATGTCAAATATCTCATTTCAAGGCTTAATTTGATAAAAATGTAATGTTTTATCTGTAACAGATTTTCACCTAAATCACAATTTCATATAATTTATTTGTACAATAAAAAAGAATAGTAAATATATTTGTGGCTTGTAAATAAGATATCAAGTTCTATGAAAACTTTCTTCTGATTTTATGTAAGTTGTATTATTTTGTGTACTTTCTTTTTGTGTTAATTTATTTTATCCAATATCAATATATATAAGAAGCAGTTTGATACGTGTATTTTCATGAAAGTTATTTTCTCACATGTGTCATAACCATTGTCTCATAGGGGTGTTACATGGGATGCCTTGATAATGCTGTTTCTCTATTGAATTCAGTTCTTAGGCATCCGTTAGTTAGTCTGGAAGGGGTAGCTTTGCCAATTATTTAATATTGTCAAACCATGTCTTCTGTTACTGGCCTTCCACCGTGCCTTGTAAGATGTTCTTTGATAGTTCGGATGTGTGGACCACATGGCTAAACCATTCTAGTTTTCTTTGTTTTCTTATCATGGTGAAAAGGGGTTCTTGTATACCAGCCATTAGCTCTATTTGGCTAGATAATGGTTTTGTGGGTAGTATAGAGGATTTGAAAGATTTTTTCAGGAGTCCTTTTTTTTTTCAAAGGTTTGCATCTTTTCCGTCTCTTCTGTATCAGTATTTAATGTTGGTATAGGTGCTTCAAAAATTAATATTTTGGAAAATATTTTGAAAAATTATAGTAAAATTAATTTGTATTTTATTAATTACTAATTTGTGTTGCTGCTGAAAGTTGTATACACAGTAATTGAATATTCTAAAATTTATTTCTGATATATATATATATATATAATACAAGTTATTTTGCTTTATTTTCTTAAGTATAACCAATTTTATCTTATAACCATCATAGAATAAACTTGTATTCCAAAACATGCTTACCTCCTCTCACACTTGCAGCTATTACTCGACTGCCATAGTTTCTTCCTTTGCCCATCTAAGCATTGGTCTGGAACATTGATGTTGGTGGAGAATGTCATGAGATAAATATTGCCATGGGCAATTGAGTGGGGTATAAAAGGTTGGAGCAAGCGAGAAAAAATCAGACCAATGCTTGGATGGGTAAAGAAAGAAATCCTAGCATTCGATTAATAGCTATAAGTGTGAGAAGAGATAAGTTATATTGGAAATACATTTTCGATTTAAGAAAATGTTAACTTTTAGCCTTCAATATAGTTGACTGTTTCTCTATACAAAAACATAAAATGATTTGCTTTAAAATTAATTGGCAAAGCAAAGACATTCTTAATCACATGCAAAAATGAGTGATGATTCTATTTAAATGTTTTGTTTTTTTTATTCCAGGGAACAAAACTCCGATTTGTTGACACACTTTCATTACATATGTGTGTCTCAGGACTTACTGGACTTCAGAGGGCACTGTCAGTAGCATACAAGAGTAATCATAAGCAAAGAGAAAAACAAGAAGAACTAATGTTGAAAGGCCCTCCTGTAAGTTGTGTAATAGCAGTAATGGTTTTGGTATATAAAAAATAAAAACCAGGTTCTGAAGTGTTATTCAAGTGTAATATATCTTGTTAGGTTTCACTCAATGTAATATTATATTTTTATTTTTCTGTCATAGAAATAACTAGCTAATGACAGCAGAGCATTAAACTTAATATAAACTTTCTTCACATAGATTGAGTTAAGTATCAAGGATAAAACAATGCTTAGTGTTAAATAGTTTAAGTTTAATAATTTATCTTTGATGATAGGTGATGAAAACAATTTGTTAGCACTTCCAATGAGCACCAAGTTGCTCATTCTTTAACCCTCTTACTATGATCAGGTCAAAGTTTTTGTGTTCCTAAGTGCATTATTTAATTTAATAAAAAATATTTAGTATAGTGGTACCATTAGTATAAAAAAGTAGGGTTTAAGTTTCATTGACAGTCAACAGCAAAAAGAAGACTGAGGTAAATACTACATTTCTTCTTTTTCACATGTATTCTTTATTTATTACTATAAAAGAAACTAAAACAAATGTCAAAATTAGAAGTTTATTAGTTACATTAGATAAAATAAAGAAAACTAATAATAACTAGCTGCGACCCGCAAAACATTTATGGTATTTTTCATGCCCATCGCTTGAATTTTCCTTATTCTGTCATTCTCACACACACAGCATTTATGCTATGCTCTCTTTAGGCACTGTGTTATATCAATAAATTCTGATATACTGGAAAATATGTTAGGCAGTCAAACAAACAAACTCACATAGATGTAACTATGATAAAACTACACTTAAAGTAAGCAATAAAGTAAAGTAATAGTAGTTATAATAGTGTAACTATAATAAAACTACACGTAAAGTAAGCAATAAAGTAAAGTAATAGTACTTATAATAGTGTAAAGAGTATGAAACAGTTATGAGCATTCAGTGTATGACACAGTTTTATGACGTGAAACAAAAATGAAGAATTAAACCCATAGCAAAGAAAAAAGTACCTAAAAGGTGTTTATAGCAGTCTATGAAACAAACCTAAGCTAAATTTTTGCAAAGTAAAATAAATCTAAAGTCATAATGAAGGCAAACTTAGCTGGATATGCAGAAACGTCTGAATGCGTGTCCACAAAGTGATAAGCAAATGGTTTTGAATTAACTGTGCAACCATATTTTAGATCTAAATAAGTTGAGAAAACTCATGACATTTGTATTTAGTGTAATGTTTCTTTTTTTTAGGAAATTACACACAGGTTAAGTGTTGTGAAATACTTTGCAAATAAAAAAACTAAAGGTGAAATCGAAGCTAGTCGTCATGTGATCACCACAACATTGTGCCATCATATAGCATACTCCTTGCATTAAAATGATTGACAAAAAAATAAAAAAGGTAAAATGGTTCTGAATGAAAAAGCCAATATGCAACCTGGACTCCTCAGACAAAGGCCTTTCTACCAACATGAGATTAGTAACGTTTGATCGAGAAATTTGGAAGAGAAATTCTGCACAGACAAATGAAAGCGTATCATTTATATAGATAATAATGTGGCAGAATTATTAGTTAGATACAGTTTGAAAGGCAATAGAACAATAAAATTTAAATAGAAATGTTTATACTGTTACAAGGTTTAAACTATTTAGGATATTAAAATGTAGTCTCCTGTTACAATTTGACGTTATTCTAGAAAGAAGAAAGGGAATTTAGATATATTTCACATTATTTTATTTTTAATTTGACCTGCCCAGTATAGAGTTATGGTAGAGAAAATAACAAATAAAATATAAAGTTTTACTGAAAAAAATTGTTTTAAACTTATTTAGGAGGAATTAGTGACTATGCAAATGAAATTTGACAATTTTCAGATGAAAAAAAGTATTTTTTAATCTTAAAGTGAAAATCACTTTGCATTTGGAGAAGCCAAAACTTTGACAATATATATTCACAGAGAAAGTTTTAGTATAAATACTTCATTAGAAATGTTGCCTTTTTGTCTAAAAAAGGCTTATAATGTTTATTGAAAGCTTGAGAAATTTCGTACACAAAACATATTAGAAGTTGTAGTTTGGAAACTAAAAGTCAGTCTGGGGTCAAGAACTGGGCTGAATCAACCAAGCTGGTAGTGAGAGAGTTAATCATTTGAACCAGTACTGGTCAGTTATAAAATCAAATTCTCTGTCAGTAGACATAGGTAGCTTTTTTTTTATTAAGCAAATAATAAGTCAGTGCTTAATGATTTAATAATAAGTGCTTAATGATTTAATCATTTATTTAACATTTAAAGACCTGACAAAAAAAAATATGTTAATGAAAGTCACTTGACAAAAGCAAGAATCTTAGGTTTAAAAATTTCAGATTTTGAACAGTGAGGCTACTCTTGATGTAAACATATATTGTCTTTATGAAAAAACTAAGTAAAATGGAATATAGAAAGAATAAGTAAGAAGGCAGTCATAAAGGCAGACTTTAGGCCTACCACTTTTTCAATCAAACATCATAACCATATACTTTGGAGAGGCGATCTAATAAAAAAAGTCAAGCCTGGAATAATAGATATTGTAACATAAGATATTTGAATTATAAGTAAGCTTAACATTCCACTATCACTTTTTGCAAATAAAAAAGAAAGAAAATATTTTTCTTAAGGTGTTTTCAGCATTCTTCAGATTTGAAAAATCTTTCAATATTAGCATCACTACAACATATGCTTTAGTTAGTGAAAGAAGATTTATTTATATAGGTCTCAGCAGTTATAAGAATTTTAAAAAATTATAAAAAAGGTGTTTATCGTCACTTGACTTAAACATAAAAAGATGATCAGTAATACAATTTCACTTAAGTGACTTTTTGTGATATTTGTCTAGTTTAATATAAGAATATTAATAGATGCAAAAACAGTAGTTCCAAAAATAAATGTATTATAAACAGGCACATATAATTTTATTGTATTTGGCAGTTGTATTTACAAAAAAAAATATCTATGTGTTTTTAAAATATATTTATTATTCTATCTTAGTGAAAAGATTGGTAAGGTTTTATTTACACTCCTTGATGTCAAAAATGGCAGAAAATTAGCTTCTTGAAGTACTTAGAATTTGATATTTCTTATCAGCCTCAAATGTGGCAGGATATCAGTTCCCTGAATAACCTGGTTGATGTCTATAGTCTTTATTGTGGAGGTGCTCGTTTGGACAAATCTGCTCGTGACATTTTTGTTACAGGAAGCCTGAATGATGTGCGGCAAAATTTTCAAGTAAGATGTTTTATCATTAGTCTATAATTTATGTGTTAGATAAATATAAATTATTCAAAATAACTAATTATTTCTTTGCTCTTTCTGCATGATGAAAAGTAGAAGTATGTTTGAACCTATTAATTTCAAATATGAGGAACTTGCTAAATGTACTTATAAAGATACTAAAATCTTATTTAACATGTATGAAACTTTGTTAAAACATATAAGTGGTAGTAAAATTAAATGTGCAAAAATGGACAGCAAAGAATGTGATATCCAATTTAAGATAATAGTCAGTTGCTAAATAAAATCTTAAAGTAAAGAATTTTTTGCTCTAATGACTTCTCTTTCATGTCTTGACCAAGATTTTTATTGGCACCCAGTGGCATGGTTAGGTTTATTTTAATGCTAAAACTTTGTTTTATATTTGGTTGTAATTAGATTTGTGTAGAAAAATTATACTTAGGGTACCAAGATAGTAAAATAGAAATGTTAAACTCTACTCTTTAGTGGTGTTATCAGGAGAAATACAAATTTTAATATATTAGATATATATTTAGGTGTATCAAATTAAATCACACAGTGTGAAATATTATGCATCCATTCACAATATTAGAGAACACTTGTTAACATACTGTAATCTTTAGTTTTAAAGCAATAGTGTCCATGTGTCACACACACTACAGTAGAACAAAGAGAAAAAAATATTAGTTACTGTTTATTTTTGTCTTGAGACATGTGCTCTGGATTGCTATGTCGGGGGGATTTTTCATTCTGCAAGAAAGAAATTCTAAAATTAAGTAAAATTGACTAAAATTTTTACAAATGTAAGAAAGGTATATGTGATGATCTGAATTCATGCTCCCAGTTGCATTAATTACTTGACATACCAGAAAACAATTGAATTTTAATGTTTTTCAACACATTAAGATAGAAACAGAAGCTTGGAGTAGGAAGTGAGTAAGACAATATTTTAAGCAAGTGTTTGAAAAAAGGATTATTCATATGGACAAGGTTGGTAGCAAAAGGAAAATGAGAAAGAGAAAGCTGCCAGCTGTGTCTTGCATGAAATATTGATACCAGATCTTCTCTTTCATTGTAGACCACTAATTTATGCTACTTTACTTTCACAAATTTATTGCACTGAACAACACATTTCCAACTGTTTGGATTCTTAGGATCTTTTGGTAAGTACTTATCACCACAAATGAAACAGTTCATGCTGAATTTAAAGGCGAGTTTTCAGATTATCTTTTTCAAGATGATGGCTCCTTGTGAGAGCATCAAGGCTAGTGGCGAGCACAAATTGCACATATAGAAGGCAGTACAAGTCAAGAAAAGCTATTATGTGAGGGGAAGGTAAGTATCTATCAGAAATACATTTTCAGTGTAGGGAAATATTAACTTCCAATTACCTATATTAAAGTTTTAACTGTTGCTTTGGTAATAAACTGTAATTTTGACAACAGTAAACCTCGATGAAGATTTTTTTTTTGTATAGGAACTAGTTCATTACTGTGCCCAAGATGTAAAAGCTACTTATGAAATCCTACAAAAACTACTGCCTCTTTTCTTTGAAAGGTTTGTGTGGAGTGTTTATTGTTTTCAATACCAGTTTACTTCCACAACGTATAAGGATAGAAGATAATGCAGTCCTTTGTTTCTTGTGTTCTTTGTGTGTTTTAGAAATAACTTGTATGAAGAATTCAGATGTTTATGTTCTTTGATAAAGAGGTTTTCATTTGTTAAAAAATGTCAAAAACTATAATTATTTATATCTTAATTGTTTGTTCTAGGTATGCTATTTGTTATGGTTTTAGGATTTGTAGATATGTTATCATGTAACCTTCCCTAATTCACATTAATGTTGTTGTTATTTGTTACAAATCTGTGGTCAAAGTTTCCTATATGAGAAGATAATATCTCATAAATGTTTAAACCTCAAATTTTGTACACCAACTGATGTATACTCTCTGAACCTAATACATTTTAAAGTTTCAAGCCCTAGAATTTTTACTTGTGATTACATGATTGCAGAATATACATATTCCTAAGAAAAAGAAGCCAATATAATGGAATATCTCAACTGAACATTTTAATTTTAATGATTGATGTTTAAAATGTAAAAAAACAACTTCATTTAAATCTCAGTTGAAGTAACCATCTTTGTTAGTGTATTATTGTTAATTCAAATGCTTATGTGAGGGGTGAATGCATTTTAGAATTTCTTTTCACCAAGTACTTGTAGTTAGGAATGGAAAATTCCGTGGATGAGTTTTGAGTGTTGAATGTATTTTAAAAATTTTTTATGCAATAGGTAGTGTAGGTAAGATTGGAAAATTCTGTAGATGACTTTGATCAGTTTGAATGCAGCTATCAAGAAATTAGTGAGGAAAAATTTAGTGAATGTTTGATGAAGAGAAGAGAAGGTGTAAGTTCTGGGAGACTGATATGATATTCACTTACTAAAATGCAGTCTTGTTCTTCAACTTAAGATTAGTACACTTGATTTTTGTGTTATAGATCTGTTTTAATCATATATTTTTATGCCTAGTGTGAATCACAATTAAAAATTGCTAATTATGCATTCAGTGAATATTATTCTGTTAATTTGATAAGTATTATTGCACTTGTTTAAAAATTATTAACCTTATGATAAACTTTCAAATTATGTATTCTTTTGGTGGTAAGGACTAGTAACTAAAAGTGTAAGATATCAGTGGTATGATTATTGAAAACATTTATACATTTTTCCCTTGAAATTTCAACTGTATATGTCAGTTCAGTTAAATATGGTGGATTATTTAAATAAATCTTCATGAAAAACAGATCGTTTACTTTCTTAAAAAATAACGTATAAAATGTACTTATGTTAAAAGTGTCTGTATAGAGATCAAATAAAATGACTAGTTATGTCATCTTGTAAGAGTGAACTAACACATGAAAACTGTATTTAATTGTATTAATTATAGATTAATTATAAGTTTAAAATGTTGTCTTATTTACTAAATGGCATTTGTATCTTGAAAAAATACAGATTTCCACACCCAGTAACATTTGCTGGAATGCTTGAGATGTCAACAGCTTATTTACCAGTGAACCAGAACTGGCAACGATACCTGAGAAATACAGAAGATATCTACCATGATCTCCAGAAAGAACTGAAGCTTTCTTTAATGCATCTAGCAAATGATGCCTGCAGTCTCTTACATGATCAGAAGTTAGCTCACTATTATATATTAATTAATTTATCATTTTTTTACAGAACCAAGGGTTATTCTAGTGAAGTTGGTTATTTAATTTATTTATTTTCATAGGTTAGGAAAGTTCAGCAGGTCAGGCACATCCCCTTAGTGCCACCCACCCCCAAAGGACATCCTGATGTTGTTATAGTTAATTGGCCTAAACGTTTTGTGCATGACTGGACATTACTCTAATGCTTTTGTATGTAACTGACCTAATATTCTCAAACATAAATAAATTTTATACTGATGCTGTTGCTTAGAATTGATCCAGAAATCTCATACATGACCATACATTACTTTGGTGGTGATGTTGTATAATTAAGTTAGCACACTTATACATAACAATACATTAGATTGATGATGACGTTGTGTAATTGACTTAGCACACAATTATATGGTCATACATTAGTCTGATGATGATATGTAATTTATTTAGCACACATTTACATAACTATACATTAGTCTTGTGATGTTTTTGTGTAATTGACTTAGCACACTCATATATTTATATATATTTTCCCTTGATTTATCTATTTCATCTAGATATCTTTTAAAACTAAATATGAAATAGATCCTACTATAGAAAACATTGCTTGCTGTCATGGCTTTCCAGATACTAAAACATAGCTTTTTATAATTTAAACACTTTAATGGCCTTTTGCTTCATCTTTTTGAAAACTGAATTAAGTATTTTATCATTTTCTCATGACATTTTTATTTCACATTTTACTTGTATGTATATTTAAACCAACAACAATTTGTTTGGCAGTCATTTTGCTTTATTTTATTTTAAGTTATTTATTAGTTTTAATAGGTAAAATATATAGGTTAAAATCTACAGCTAAGTTTCTGTCAAGGTCCCTTATTTCCTCTCACATACATAGCTATTTTCATTCAGTGCTGCTCTCTATGTATTTACAAAAAAATTTTATATGCCTCAAACATTTCAATCCCACGATTCACATGGTTTAACTGATTCTCACATGCAAATTATCGTGCAACAAATATCCACCAATAGTAGTGCCGCACATGACTCGTGACTTCCTCTATGCTGTTCTACCTAAATATCATTTCTTGTTTGGCAGTGCTCGTGTTCAGACATTTAGTTTGTGCCCTCTTCAAGTCCAATATTTATTACACAATAGTCATATTTGTAAATTGTTACAAAGTGGAATTATTTTATAGTTCTACCCAGTTAGAGAACTTAATACTTCATTAAAAATCATTTTGAATATGAATTCCGAATTCTAAGTGACAATTTTGGAGATTATATCTTATATCAGCACATTTACACTGGCTTCAGGTGGCGGTCCTCGTGTAAGGAATTATCGGCTTTACTTCTTCGAGAGATTGAATGTCAAATGAGCTGACTTTCTTCAGGCCTCGACTTGAGTTTGTGGCCCTAAACATTTTGAAATATCTGCTGTTGGGTTATACTCTTATGATTTTGAATATTTTTACTAATCTACACTTTGGGGCTCATATGGAATATTCTTTTTGTCATTTTCATTTCTTGCCGTCTTCCACCTTTATTCTAGGTCAGATCTGGATGACCTTTTCTGTTTCGTACATGCTCTGGGTTGCTTCACTGCTTTCAAGGCTTCTTTTCGTTGACTCCATTTCCTGCAGTTTCATTCCCTTGCAACCCCTCTCTGTTTGTGATTTTTTTTCTCTTCCACCCTTACCCATTGGGTTTGGCTTGTGATTCAATTGACCTTTTATTCCTTGTCTCCTTCTTCCCGTAATCAATTCTTGGTGTCTTCACCCCACTCAGGCACTTTATCTTTTACCTGCATCTCAACCCCATCATCTCTTGGAGGTACTTTGTCTGTCAAGCACTGGGACTATACCTCACACATTCATCTCCCATTATCTGCTTTGGGTAGCTGTTTCTTCTTTGTCGGAATACTGTCTTCCACCTGTTGCCATCCTTCACTCTTCAATGAGACTGTAACTGGGTAACTTTTCTTTCTTTTGTTATATATATATATATATATATATATTATTTTTCAGGGGGCCTGTCCAGGTATACTTCATTCACATAGAATTGTACTAAAACCTGCACTGTAAGGTAATGTTGACTTCACTTTCATAATTTCCATGGCCACAAAATGCACTGTTCATTACAAGTACATAAACTAGAGATGGAGTGTTCCACAATATTGCTCATAGGTTATTTCTCATGATATCTTTGCTTCATAAGTATGCCCATTCTGGGCTGTACTAACCCATGGATTTCATGGGTAAAGCAGAAGGGGATTGCTGCCAATTTCTTTGATTCCTTAGATTGAATAAATTGGGTTTGGTCTTCTTTTCAAAATAGGGTTTTCTGATCACCCCTTGCACTGTCTCTGGTGTGAAAGTTCCTCTGGACTCTCCACAGTGGTTGTCAGTTCCCAGCAGTCAAGTTTTGAACACAGTTGACTTGCTATGTACTGTCCATTCTACACCTTGGGCACATCCCTTATTTTACTCACATTCTATTCATTAGGAAGATTGAAATATTATAATATATTGTGGTTTGGATCACTGTTCAACCCTTTTCTCTCCAATTGGGATGTGCTTCTCACAATTTTCTGCCCGGATTTTTCACACCTTTTCCACATATGGGCAAAGAGTATACCTGGTACAGAAAAGTCCCCTCATTAGTGTCCTTTGGATGCTTCTCTTTCTCCTTTCCATTGGTCCCTTCACATTTTCAGTGTGGGATTCTAGCTATCTATGTGAGCAGAAGTAAGGTACCTTGTTGTAAGTTATAATTTTCCTACACTGAAAATGTATTTTCAACAAGTACTTACTTTCATTCACACTTCTCCCCCCTTCCTCCCCACTGTCAACCGGTGCTTACATTTCTGCCTAAACTTGAAGTGATAGTTAGGTAGAATAGCATATAGAGAGAGTCACATGGATGTGTGGCATGATAATTTGCAGGTGAGAATCAATTAAACCATGTGAATTGAGGGGTGCATGGGAGTGAAAGGCTTGTGGCATGTGGAAAAATTTTTCAATTAAAAGGCAGCATGGAACAAGAACTGCTATGTATGTGAGCAGAAGTAAATACCTGTTGGAAATACATTATCAGTGTAGGAAAATTATAACTGTATTTTTGTGGTTTATTTCAGATATAAAAATGATCCATGGTTGTGGGACCTTGACTGGACAACCCAAGAAATGAAATGTAAGAAACAAGTAACAAGAAAAAAGAATACAAAAGAACAGGACAAAAAAGATAAAGGTAGTAATGATGTCAAGCCAGTGGACACATTTAAACCAGAATTGGTAAGGGTATAATGCATTTTACTTCACAATTACACTTGTAAAGAAAATATCAATATGTTGCTCACAAAAAGAAGATATCAAAAGTAAGTTTTTTTAGATTATTCCATTTTTAGGAGCAGATGTAACATTTATGAACATCTTTTCCATTGTACTAATTTCTAAATGGCTTTTAAGAAAAATTTTTTTAATTTTTCATTTACATAATGTAGTATTGTAATTAATGATCAATCTTATATCCATAAGATAGCCACAACTTGTTGCGCGTCTGTATAAAGGAAGAAACTATATTTAGTTTTGTTCTGGCATGTTTAATTCTTACTTATGAAAAATAAATTGGATTTTCTGGGCATTCTAGTTTGTTCTCTGTAATGAATTAACTGGATCTTTATTCTTGCATATTAGATTTTGGTCTGTGAGAAATAGACAGAAGTTTTTTTTTTTATATAGAATATTAGTTTTTATTTAGTAAAAGGTTTACTGGAACTTTGTTCTAGCATTCTAAACTTTACTGTAATAAATTTACATTGCAGTATTGTTCTGGTTTTCTAGAGTTTGTCGAGTTGAAAATAAATTGTAACTTTGTTCTGTCATTAGTATTTACTGTATCAGAAATAGTTTTTAGCTTTTTCCTGGCACACTAGGCTTTATGTTGTCAGAAGAAGGCTAGAGCTTTCTCACGGTACTTTAAATTTTACCCATTAACCCTTTGTGTACAGCTGAGGGTCAAAATGCATGTCATGACTTTTACAGTGTTACATTCAAAATGTAATTAAACAATTTAGTTATCAGTGTATGTCAGTAAACTTGGCCTTAAAACATAGTTTATAATTCAGTTGTTAATACTGATTTATATAAATTGATTTCTGAATTAAAAAAAAAAATAGATAAATTCTCAGTTTTCTCTTCCGTGTGTCATGTGATGTCTCTGCTCTGAATTCTCCATTTTAGACTTTCTTTCTTCTCTTATATGGGTTTCAGAATGCCCACTAATTAGATATTGGAAACCTAGAATTTAGAATAAGAACCTTCTAACTCTTCATGCTTTTGAAATTATTTATTTACTCATGCTCGCTTGTCAGTGGGTCAAAGGTATATATTTTATAACCAGTGGAAAGCCATTTTGTGAACCATCTGATTATGATGTCTTTATGTTAATTTATTTTGATAAAAGATGGCATTACAAAAGCAGAATATTTTGAAGCTCCAGTAAGTAATTTCATTTTCTAAAACTTTTTATAAGTCAAGTAGAAAACCAGATAAATTATAATACTTTTGTAACATTCTCTTTTACTGTTTGAATTATTGTTTGTGTTTTAAAATGCATAGTTGAAAGCTACATGCATCATTTTATGAACAACCAGCTTGTGAGAAATATTTAGGGTTAATAAAGACTAGCTTCCAAAAGCAAAATGCTTCAACCATGAAGTAGTGCTAGATTTCTTATTTTGATGTTTAATTTTTGGTAGATATTTAGTAACAGAAGTAACTAATGTGTAAGAATTAAAAACTAATTAGATTAGGTAAAAGCACTCAAATGAAAAATATATTTATTTTTTTGCCTTAAGGAACATAAGTAGTTAAATGTCACGAGACATATAACTGAAATTTTTTCAACCCTAAACTCTTTGCACTCCCATTCACCGATTTATTGCTATTTATGATAGCTAGATGTGGTTCAAAGAATAATAAAACCATGAAAATAAATTAAAACAGATGTAAACTTAGACTATTTCTGTTATAATCTGCAGTCCTTCTAGAAAGAAGAAAAGGTAATTTTAGATTTTTTTCTGTTGCAAGGTTGGTCAAATAGACTTAGCCCATATAATGTTAGGGTAGAGAAAATAACAGATACAATATAAAGTTTTCCTGAAAAGAATTTTTGATATTCATTTAGGAGGCTCTAGAGGTTATGCAAATGAAACTTGAGAACTTTAAAATAAAACATAATATCACGAACATAATGAACATGAAAATCACCTTGGACTTAGAGTAGACGAAGTCTGGCTGACTAAAGTAAATTCTGGACAACTCTTTAGTTGAAATACTTTATTAAAAATACTGATTTGTTTGTGTATAACATACTTGTATTGTTACTTAAAGTTTACCAAATTTTGTGAAGAGACTGTAAGTAAATATGGAATTTATTGTAAACATTATTTCACTTATAAAGGCTCGAACTAATAGACTTTTCCTATGTTCATAGAGTTAAGAGGTGGAACTAAAGATTTTATCAGGCACATCTAGTTTTAGTATACATGAAGTAGTCTTTATCTGTTATGGTTCAACATGTTTTTTTGTGTTAAAAAGTTGATAGGAACCTTATTCTGGTACACATGGGTCTTTTCTGTGAGAAGTGAACTGGAGCTTTGTTATGACACACTAGAGTTTACTTTGTGACAGATTAATAGAGGCTTTGTTTTGGCATTCAAGGTTTAATTCCAGGATAAGTAGTCATAGCTTTGTCACGCTAGGTTTTACTTTCTAAAACTTATATTCTTTGACTTTTTTCTTTCTCACATTGCAAATACTTTAACAAATTCCAAGAAACTTAGTAAATATTATCTGGTTTGGGCCTTAAAAAGTTTTATAATTCAGTTTACTTTTCCTATCATATTCTCTGTTGTGAAATTTTTTTCTTGTGTTGAAAGACTGTTTTGAAAAGACATGAAATTTGTTTTCAGTTTAGAATTTAATTTGTTTTATTGATGATCACAAAGCTCCATTTTATGTACATACAAACAGTTTCAACTTGAATGATATTGATTAACACATTTCTTTGTTGAAATAAATTTGAATTTAATAAATATAACTTCTTTTCAATAAGCAATAAGGTGTATGTTGTTTGTATACCATCAACTTGATAATATTCAACAAATAAGGGTTTGACTCACTGGAATATTTTGCCATTGCTTGCATTACTCTGTAAACATAACTATGTTTACCTAATGTCTTGTCATAGAGAAAAATTCCTGTAGCTCTCAAACAAATATATAATTTAGCAAAACAAATTTTCAGGAACAAAAGAACATCGAAAGGAATTATAAGGAAGTTTCCAGATCTGTGGTTTGTTCATAAGTCTTCTGCACTTCCAACTTTTGTTATTGTTCTCTGCAGGAGCTACATTTAATCATTTTCCCATAAAATCAGTAATTACTTTTCACAGCACTTTATTCACTCTATGTTGATGTAAATAGTTAATAATCTGCTTTATCCAAAGGTATTTAAAAATTTTCCTATAGCTATTTCGTAAGCTGAGTTTCACTAGTATTTGTTCAATTATCTGCTCTGAGGTTATAAAAAAGTGGAAATTGAGGAGACTGTACTAATAACATGCAGAGAAAGAGCAGGAAAATAATACGAGAAAGAAATTCTGAAGGTATTGTAGTTTCTTTTGGATGGACAGAAGTATTCTAAAAACATCAATAATGGTATTGCTTATAGGCCAGACTTGTCGGGGCTTTGCAGAAATGTATGTTTTAACTTTTTTTCTATTTTTCTTCATGAATAATATGAAATTAATGTTACAAAATGACAGAATAGCAACTCTGTACTTTTTTTTTAAATAAATCGTTGTTGAAATAGATAGAATTATTATTTTTATTCATATTATGAAATTTGATATGCAGGCGTTCATTTGACATCTGAAAGGAACTTACAGGCCTCGATAAGGTTAGTTGAAAATAGTTCTGGAAAACTAGGTTTTACCATATGAGAAGTGAGCTGGAGCTTTGTTCTGAAAAACTAGGTTTTACCATACAAGAAGTAAGCTGGAGCTTTGTTCTGGAAAACAAGGTTTTACCATACAAGAAGTAAGCTGGAGCTTTATTCTGGAACACTAGGTTTTACCATACAAGAAGTAAGCCGGAGCTTTGTTCTGGAAAACTAGGTTTTACCATACAAGAATTAAGCTGGAGCTTTGTTCTGGAAAACAAGGCTTTACCATACAAGAAGTAAGCTGGATTTCTGTCCTGGAACACTAGGTTTTTACTCTGTGAGAAGTAAACCAAGAGCTCTTTCTTCTAGCACACTGTTTTAGGTCTTATGCTATGTTTTTATTTGGGATAAGTTGATTGGTGCCTTTTTCTTGCAAGTTAGATTTTTCTCTGTGAAATTTTGCATACTTTTTACTGGAACAAATTCTTATCAAACACATTTCATGCTCCATTTTTATTATTGCCAACCACATAGTTAATGTATTATGTAATTTGCCTTTTTTGTAGCACATATTTTTATCACTGAATTATTGACATCTATATATTTCTAGAATCACTTTGTGTGCACAGAAGATGACGAGGATCTAGATGAAGACTTAAGAAAAGTTTTTGAAACAGTGAACAATCTATATAAAACACAACCATTTCTTCCTGGCTATCCTTCGTAAGACATATTTCTGAATATATTTTAATGCTGTTATCACACATATTCTGATATGTCTGATGTATATGTAGTATTTCAAACATCTATATAATTGGTAAAACATCAAATGTTATCTCACATTTGACAGTATGCTGGTTATAGTGATAGGTTGTGATGTCAAACTCATGAGATTGAGCTGTTTAAGAAATTTAGTTGTTTGCCACATTGTATATTACCCAGTTGGTGTTTGTGAAGAATCAATGTTTTAATCTCCTCAAAGAATTGGTGAAAGAGCATAATTAACACATTCCTTAGCTTTGTAATCATGCTTTTATGTTTAACAGGTAGCATCACATTTACAAGCTTATATCTCCATTGTAATTTTTACTAAGCTCTGAAGATGAGAACTTTCTGAAGTTAAAATTGGCTAGTATTTGTGTTTAAAAACAAAACAACTAGTTTATGTATGACAATCTTTGCTATATTCCATCATTCAAGGCTGTTTCTGAAAAGTTTTTTTGTTTTTTACTCACTTAGCTGGTATCGAGATTTATCTGTTAAGCGAAAGGAAGGTAGTAAAGATGATGGTAATGAAGATGAATGGGAACCTGGTCCTACTCTTATCAGTACACAGGTATGTTATTTAAGTATGTTTAAGCTTTTCTGTGTATATAATTTTAGGAAATAATGTTTTATAATTTGAAATTAATCTTTCCATGAATATTATTGACGGATACATTGTGTTAGTGACTTCTTTTGTATCTTTCCATGAACTTAATTGTAGGAGACATCATATAGGCAGTTTGAAACTATTGTTTCAATTAATATAGTAGCTTAAATAACTAACACAAGGTAATTTCAAACATGTGAATTTTTTTCTCTCTTATCACACTTTTAACATCAACTCACCAGTCCTGGATTTCTTGTTTAGTTGAAGTATTAAGTCTTTATAGCTAATGTTTCTTTTAATCTTAGCCACTGCTCATTTTCAGCCTTTCCGATAATTTGGAACTGTTCAATTTCTACATTTACATTCACATATTTTTTTTTATGTCGGAAAATGTTTGAGAGTTCTTCGTACATTGACACACTATGTTCTTTAACTCGATCACTAAGCCTCCTCATTATCGACTTTATATACGCACTATTGCAAACAGAGCACTGATATCTGTAGATGACATGTTATCGGTTTGCTTTGCAAATTCTGTCTTTGAATACAAAATAGTTCCTTATTCTGTATACTGGTTTAAATACCACACGTAGTTCAACTTGTGGGTACACATAACAAAGGAAGTTCTTTATATTTTTCTTGATTTTCAAAGTATGTGTTCCAGTAAATGGTAGTGTCATACATACAATCCTTTTTGGAACATTATCTTTCTCTTCCTTAGGGGTGGCTGCTTTTTTGATATAATCGTTGAAAAGTTCAACTTGTGGGTACACATTACAAAGGAAGTTCTTTATATTTTTCTTGATTTTCAAAGCATGTGTTTCAGTAAATGGTTGTATCATACACACAATCCTTTTTGGAACATTATCTTTCTCTTCCTTAGGGGTGGCTGCTTTCTTGATATAGTCGTTGATAATTCGGGTTAAAACTTTTATTGGAAAGTCATTCAAACACAAGTAATTTTTTATGTTTTCACTTAATTTTTAAACCTTTCAACATTAGTACATAGTTTATGAGCTCAATATACGAGAATTATAATTAGATTATCATTAAAGTTATTAGGTATAAAGCTATTATAGTTAAAGTACAACCTCGAAAATGTAGGTTTATGAAAGTTGTAGTGATCATTGTTTTCCAAATAATTTTTATATACTGTTCTATATTTTAAGAAAAATAACTCAAATTTAAATTTTTTATTTGTAAATAGCAATAATATATATATGATACATTATATATATATATATATATATATATACTATTATTACCTAACCAAAGTCAGTAGGGAC